ATGACACTCAATTTAAAAAAATCCAGAGTCTGTGTTAAGAATGAATTGGCAGAATAGAAACAACAAATGGTAAGAATAACTTTTGAAAAAAGTTCACCACAACATGGCTGTAATTTAATAAATATACATGTAATGTTATTTGCTGGCTGAGTGCGGCCTCGGGACATGCTTAAGACCCCGGCAGTTCTTCCCAATATGGACCAACCTGCACTGTAGCTAGGCTAGCAAATAACAAATGGGTTTGTTTATGCAATTTTGTCATGGAATCGACTTATTTGCTGCCCACTTACGGTTTTGCATTGAGCAAGTAACTCAGATGTTAGACAAAGAAAAATCTATTAAAGGACAAACTTATTTTTAACTATTTTATGTTAGTTTCATTTAGTTGACCAGTCAAGGTCTCCAAAATTGTTTTCTGGTGTGAAATTCCATGCTAAGTTTGAAGTTGTACTACAACAACAGTTTCCGTCAGTCATTGCGAATCACTTGAAATCGGACTTTTCTGTTGTAAACTGAATAGCACTGAGCTGAAAGCGAGGAAATTCAGTAAAAGTATTCCACAGAAATTCTCTTAAATACAGCAACGAACAGAGAGGTAAACTTGGCTGAAACTGACTCAATTTTTTTACTTTACAGCAAGAGAAACACAGGATTACATGCCATTACAGCACCGAGCTACAAACAACTACACTCTCACGACTTCAAAACACTTAACTGAATTTACTTACAGTGACTTTCCTTGCCATTTAAAAGTAAATAGAGATAAACTTACATTGAGCATGTAAAATAGGCAAAAGATTGACGATTATTGCTAATTCGTTCACAAAAATAGATCTGAACACAACGATTCCACTTGCTGTGAGTGGACCAGATTGGAAAATTCTGCCCACCTCCGGAACCAATCAGATTGCAGGATTTGTTTAATTCTGCCCACTCAAGAAGTGAGAAAAAAATAATTACACTGTAGACTTTATTGCATGGTACAGCATGCATGCTGTTAACAACTAATGTTATTTTGGGGGCCTATGTTAATCAGATAGTTGTGGCAAGTGATTATTTTCTTTGTCACTTCACATGCATGTACCTCAGAAAAGATTCCCATTTATTGACAAAAGATTCCTTAAGATCCAAAAATTCCTATGGTCATCCACAACAAGAAACCATATTGCATGTGTGCAACCATTTCTTCAGGAAATTTAAGTTGAACTATGATGTACATGTACATCAGAAAACAAACTATCAATTGAAAGCAAACAATGGATGTAAATACCATCTGGATAAAAAGTATCGCTTTCTCTCAGGAATTTTCTGCTGCAAACCAATTTCTATAAATTAAAGCATTTTAATGTCACACTCTGAAAAATTACCATTGTTATGTAGTTTTGCAAAAATCCACCATCTTACTGATCCATGACAGATATCTTTGCTGTTAAAGCAAATTACTTGGGGATACACTAACTCATGTTACATGCACATGGAAAAAAGTCTAAGTGAAGGAAAGAAAGACCAAAGGAGTGAAATTTGCTCTCAAAATTACCACAAGAAAAATTAGTAAGCAATTATTCAAGTTAAGAATGAACTTGAACTGCAACCTGAAGAATGGTATTCTGGTACCTCCAAGGGGTGGGGTGTTTTTCAAAATTTCTGACGAGCATCCCCATTGGTTATCAGTTGATTATCCCCCAAGTCAATTAGCCCCTAGCCGGTTACCGGTAGTTCCCAACCAGGAGTCTGTTAGTCCCCAACATAGAGTCGATTAGCCCCCACACAAGCCAATTAGCCCCCCAAACAAATTTTGCCTGTTTAACTCACTATTAAGTTATTCGTCTTGTCAATATGACAAATTAAAGTTAAAGTTTTGTAACTGAGTAGCCATTTTAATGAGCGAGGAAGAAAGAGAACCCTGGAAACAAGTTTGTTTTTGTATGTGAAGATTCAATTTTGAATTCACAATAGAGTTGAGTTCAGTGAGCATAAGTGCAACAAACAACACACAACTTTTTGTTGTCAAGAGCAACAGAGTTTCCATCCTATTCACACATGAACTTGTCGGCTATGTGTGTCGAGTGGCTGTTTAGGATATTTGAGTAAACAGTAGTTTATGCAAATACACGTGCAAATTATCAAACAAATACATTTAGACTTCTCTCTAACTATGCTAATTGACTTGTCTGGGGGCTAATCGACTTTAGGTTGTGGGCTACTGGACTCCTGGTTGGGGGCTAACAGGCTAGGGGCTAATTGACGTAGGGCGCTAAACGACAGCTTACCTCCCCATTTATTATGATTATATGATTATGATTATAAGGAGGTTCCCCAGTGTGGCTTAAGCTTCGAATGTGTAAGTAATCAACATACCTCATCAATCCATGGCATCTGAAGCTCTCCGGTCTTCTCTCCCAAACAGAGTTTGTTGATTTTACATGTAGCATTTCATGCTTGATATATCTCTGAAGGAAAGATACTAAAGTGTAAATATAATTGCTGGGTAAGAGTTTAGTTCGTATTTGTTCTTCACCATCATTACTTTCTTAAGTCATTCATGTACAGTAACATAAGCTAATATACTGTACAGATAGTACATGTATAACATATTTTGACACCAAGAAGTTAAAATTGACGATCTCCCGGATTTCGATTTTCTTATGTTGGCATCACTGCTAGTCTGCATTTTGTACCCGGTCTGCAGTCCACAGTCTGCAGTCTGCATTTTGCATTTGTACTGGGGATACATGTTTATGGACAAACTACTAAAATTACTTATAATAATTTATTTATAACAACTATATTTGCACCAAAAATATATAAATGTGTACATGCAAATAGGTTGTCAGCAGGGATGAACTTAAATCTCCATAAACAAGGTTTAAAGTTTTTTTCTTTTTTTTTGGCAGGTTGGTTTAAACGTGAGTTGGTGAACAATGTACGCATATTCAAGGTTAACGACAATATGAACTCCCTTGATACATCTGGGTTTTAAATTTGCCGCCATTTTACTGCCATTTTATCAGCTTTATCCAGCAAATTACAACAGGCAGCAATACACGAAATACAGCAAGAAGCTCTTTGGCAATATATGCCCGAATTAAAAGTAAGTTAGCTCGAATCAAACCAAGACAACCTAACAAGGATGCGATATGGCGGCTTCTCGAGATTCCTATACTCCATTCTTTTTCTGTGATCTAGAATTGAGAGAAAGCCACCAAATAACAATATTCCTTAGAAAGCTCATTTACGTATCAAGAGGTTTAGAATCGAGTCAAATATCTCGTTCGAAGCTAACACGTGGAAAAAGAAATTTCTTAATTGAGCGATCGATAGGCATTGTGGGATATTTCTCCTTTACCGTCCCCTCCCCTCCAATTGCAGAATACCCCAGCACTATTGTTCTCGCGTACAAAGGACGACGTTTGAAGGAATTTGTAGTCAAGGTAAACGTCGAAATATATCTTTGTATTTTCTCTCTGATAGGAATTTGACCAAGTAACTCAAATCCAAACGGACGTTTTCGATATTTGTTTATTCTTGTATGGCACTCAAGTCAAGATATGACCTGATTTTGATAGCTGAATAATTTGTCTTCCGAGAAAAAGTATCGAGAAGTTTTGGTTCTCTTTTACAGGCGAACTAAAATTAAGTTTAGATTTCTAATTTCCAGCCTTTGCGTTCGGCCAATTTGGCGATCGTTGAGGGAAACATCGTTCCTGTCGATTAGTCTCGAATTTAACGAACTTGAATAAAATAGATCACATTTAATATCTTGCCTTAGGGACTATTTTGTGAACGGAATAAGAGAAAAATCGATTTTTCGACTTCTGCCGTCAAATATTTAACTTTGCTCAACTTTTGTTGACGTTTTATCTTAACTTTCCATTGGTCATACTGATAATCACCAGTGGCGGATCCAGACCTTGAGCTAAGAAAGGGGAGGGGGGTGGTTTGCTTCTTCCTTCTGTGGTTTTTCCTTTTTTTACCCAAAATAAGGGGGGCACCGAACCTCTGGGTCCCTCCACTAGGTCCGCCACTGATCACTTTGCTAAACCGTGGGTGAAACTGGGATTGTTGCTTTGTGGATTGACAAATTACATACACTACGCCAGAGAAATCTGAAAACGCAACAATCACCGGTTATTTTGTATTTCTGTTTGGGCAGGGAAATCGCATGGTTTTCCAAAAGCCCCGTTTTCGAAATGTTTTCTGTCCACACGAAAATTCCTCCGGTTTGAAGAACGTTTTCGAAAAGCTCCGTTTTGGTCACGGATTAGTGAGGACGGTAGGCCTAACCATAGAAATAAAGCGGGGACGGCGACTTATTCTAAGATTTACTTCCTGATTTTGTTGCAATTTACAAGACAACCTTACAATCCTTTACACTGCAATGGACTCGAATGTCTCACTGCAACCGGAGGGACCTGGTGACGAGGTATTACCGTTGGTACCTTTAAATCGAAGTCCTCCACTGGACCGGCGCCAGCGAGCCATGGCATTGAGTCAGCTGTCTCTCCAGTCAATGGCTAGTAACCACTATGACGCAACAGATACTGCGGATGATGACGAAACAGTAAGCATGGCAACAGTGTTAGATTGAAACGATTTGATCGGAATGACCCGAGGCTCAAAAACATACGAAAATATTCCGAAAAATTCGAAAATCTTCCAATAATGTTTCTTGTAAATTAAGCAAAACATAGTTGTCTGAAGCNATTACATACACTACGCCAGAGAAATCTGAAAACGCAACAATCACCGGTTATTTTGTATTTCTGTTTGGGCGGGGAAATTGCATGGTTTTCCAAAAGCTCCGTTTTCGAAATGTTTTCTGTCCACACGAAAATTCCTCCGGTTTGAAGAACGTTTTCGTAAAGCTCCGTTTTGGTGACGGATTAGTGAGGACGGTAGGCCTAACCATAGAAATAAAGCGGGGACGGGGACTTATTCTAAGATTTACTTCCTGATTTTGTTGCAATTTACAAGACAACCTTACAATCCTTTGCACTGCAATGGACTCGAATGTCTCACCGCATCCGGAGGGACCTGGTGACGAGGCATTACCGTTGGTACCTTTAAATCGAAGTCCTCCACTGGAACGGCGCCAGCGAGCCATGGCATTGAGTCAGCTGTCTCTCCAGTCAATGGCTAGTAACCACTATGACGCAACAGATGCTGCGGGTGATGACGAAACAGTAAGCATGGTAACAGTGTTAGATTGAAACGATTTGATCGGAATGACCCGAAGCTCAAAAACGTACGAAAATATTCCGAAAAATTCGAAAATCTTCCAATAATGTTTCTTGTAAATTAATCAAAACATAGTTGTCTGAAGCTTCGCTAGCTTTTATTTTATTTTTTTTTTCGTTTTTTTCAATTGCTAAATTGACTACACACCACGATTATCATGTCGAACATGTATTCACTCACTGATTTACTCATTCATTCATTCATTCATTCATTCATTCATGTTTTAATCACATAGAGTGGTTTTCACTTGAGTGTATAAGAGTAAGTGTTTTTGCGTTACTTCGCTACACGATTGGCTTAAAAAAGGTCGTGCCACTTTTTCATCCAATCAGAAGTAAAACCAAAACCAATCGTGATTTCGTTCGCACTCGTTTTCCCGCGCTTCGTATCAGCGACATGTAATTACTTCGAGTTTTGATTGACTCACCGGATTGTCTGTGTCCTTTGTGATTGGCTAGAGTGACTGCACTGGTTTTGCCACACTCAATCGAAAGCCACTCTATGTGCTCCTCATATAGTTCTTTCTTTATTCTCAAACACCTTGTTATTGTGATTTTAACACTGGGCAACGTCTTAGTACCTTGCACGTTTAATTTTCTGAGAATACTTCATTGTTTTGTTCCTCATCAGTTTCATCAGTTTTGTACAATTAATTTGAATCTTTTGTCTACAGGAGAAAGATAAAGACAAAGCGAAACCATTTAAACTACACCAGGCGTCTTCGACTGGAGACGAGGCTGAAGTTAAGAACATCTTAAGCAAAGAGCCTGGTAATGAGTAATTTTTAACTACAAAAAGAGTTCTTATGCAAAACGACGCGATTAAGGTCATTCCCCAGTATTGCACTGCGCATCCCTACTGCGCATAATATCACGCAAGATTAGCGCGCGCCCATTAAAAAATGGCGGCTTTTTCTTTACAGCTGGACCTCGCCATAGAGGTAAATCGTCATTTCCTCGCAAACGAGTATGGTGACCTACAACATGGTATAGTGTCTTTGATTTGTAAGATGCAGTTTCGATCGTAACTTGTAAGACTTGTAAGCGTTGACAAGGAGTCTTTTTTCCACCCGATCTGAAAATTCTAAGTGCCTATAATGAGATGCAGTTACACTAGTTAAATAGTTGAGTACGAGTCTTACGATCGAAACTGCATCTCAAGACCTCTTCCATTCAACCCAGTTTTAAAAATCCACACTGAAAATATCAATGCGTTCTATTTTTCACAGCGAGTATCGCATTCAGCACTTGTAGCGCTGTCCCAATGACAAACAACTTTGTTTGGTGACGCACATGAGTCTTACGAGTTGTACCAGTTTACTCTTAAACTTCCACAACCAAAATAATGATATTCGATGTTTTCCTGTTTAGATTTGAATCTCCTAGATAAGTCAGGAAGAACTCCAATTCACAATGCCATATTAGGACGTCACGTGAAAATCATAGAAATGCTCCTGGAGGCTGGAGCTGACGCAAGTCTTCTGGATGAGAGCCACGATGCACCACTCCACACGGCGGTCCGGACAAGGGACGAGAACCTTGTGAAAGTAGGTTTTTTGGCAGAATAAAAGTGATCGGGTCATGCTTTGTTTAGTCCTCAGCTGTTGTTAAAGTTAAATTAACCACCGGAGTGAATTTGTAAGAGGACGTTTTGGGTGTTAACCCCTCGTCAGGGCAAAACAGATTAGAAGAAAAAGTAGCGTGGCGAACCCAATTATTAGACTACGTAGCAAGCGTTCATTATTTGCAAAAGCACGCGAGGGGGAACAAAACTACGAGCGAGGGCGAAAAATTGGAATTGAATGTAAGCTGTCTTTACTTGTTCAGCTGAGGTAAATATCTAATGCGTTGCGGCAGGAGCAAAGTCGCGAGAGATGACCGACTCGCTTTGCTGGCCGACTCTCGGTTCTTTCGCCGACGGCTTCGCTGTGCGCTCCTTTACGCATTGCTTAAAGATTTCGATAAGGAATCTTTACGCTTCTTAACGGATAGCGTAAAGGTATCCTTAACACATATTTACGCACAACAAAAACAACACTAGCTGTATGTTCGATGCTTACAACACTTTAGCAATACGTTATGTACGTCCTGTCAGGCTTTGATGCCTACAGACTCGCTGCAAAATTACTTCAACACCATCCAGACTCCAAATACAATCGAAAATAGAAATGTCATATGATCCTGAATCTAAGAATATTCACAAGAATATTTTCAGCCTAAAATGGGCTGGAAAATAAAAATATTCAGCCTCGGCAGGAAAAACAATATTTTTCTGAAAAAAAGAGGAAAATGAAAATGCGAAATTTTAGGATTTACAAAATACATACATTATAAAAGATGTGATCATTATAGATCATCCCTTAATTATGTGTTTGAGTATTGTGGATAACAAGCATGATGGCTTTTCGTATCAGTACAAATAGACTCTCTAAGTGGCACTTTGTCTTCTGTTTGCTATTATCTTTCTTGAATTTGTTAGAAGCAAAGAGCTGAGTCTTATATTACCTAATTCTCAGTCAACATTTATGACAATTTCTACCAGGCTCTTGCTGTGCATGCCTCGTGCGATCCATCAAAAATGTGGCTGGGACGTGTCTGTCTACCACATTCAATTCACGTAAATCAGTTGATTCAGAGCGGTCTTTTTTTTCTGTTCGCTATTGCCTTCCTTGATTGAATTTGTTATTTGTAGTAAGTACAACCATGACAGATTCTGTAAGACTCTTGACATACCAACGTAAGTGATAGACTCCAAATTATCACTCTATTATCTTGTCTTAGATCCGACTGCCCAATGTATTCAGATCACTTTCACGTAACTAGCTAGCCTGCTCGAAGCACCTTATCCTTTGCTCGCTCTAATAATTTGCTTCCATGGCGGATGAAGTTGTTCAAGCTCCGGCCGTTCAAGGTACTGAGGCCGCCCAGGCTGCAGTTCTTCACCAAAAGTTGCAGGTTTTTCAGTTGCTTTGTTTTGTGCCGGCTTTCCTCGCCATTTGTTTCCGTTCATTTCCCCTGTTCGTATGTATATGTTTCGCTTGTCTTTCTGTTGTGTACCTTCGCCCTCGCTATCTCGCTGCCTCTCCTAGTTGTTTTCACGGTTTAACTTCCGATATTTTTCGTTTGCTTCGTTCGTTGCTGCTTATTTGCCGTTTGCGTAATTTTTTTTTTTTTTTT